TCCCTATTTTTCAATTATTGTTGAATTTGGTAGATCAAAAGTAAGGAAAACTTCATCTATATTTCAATTAAGGATAATGAATAATTATAGGTGATACAATAATTCAAAATATAATTGAGAAATTTTTATTTTTTAAAAAAAATTTCAAACAAATGTTATGCAATAGTGTTTAATGATAAATTGATAAATTATAATTTTTTAAAAAATCACTAAGCTAATTATTAAAAAATTTAAATAATTGAATATTTAAAGAATTTTGAAAAGCATTATTTTGAATACATAAAAAAATTTTAGTAATTATTAATTTTCTGTAATAGAATTTTGTAATTTTTACTGTTCAATAATTCAATTAGATAAAAAATCTTTTATTTGAGAATATTTAGGTGGTTTTACATTATATAATTTAAATGCTTTTAATGAAACTTTAATTAACTTATCTTTTTTAGATATCCAATCTCATAATTGCTTGGGTTGAATATTAAAATTCTTACTTATTTCTTAATACCAATTTTATTTTAATTTTGTTATAATAACTTTTAATTTTTCTTGTACATTCCAATCTTTTTGTAATTTTTTTATTATTAATGTTTTCAAAAAATTTTTATTACTATATATAACCATTTTTATGAATTATTTTTTAGAAAAAAAAACCATATACATATATTTATTTATTTAACAATGTTATCAATAGATATTTTTTACAGACAAAAAAAAAGAAAAACAAAAACAAAAACAGTAATGCTTAGTATTCTTTGTATCTATTTATATAAACTTATTTATCTTACAAATTTAATTGCCCTTAATTATTATTCATTCACTTGCTCTTTATTTATTTAATTTAATTCTTTGTTTTACATACAAATCCACTTTACATTCGAAAATCCCACCCACCTATGTATGTTATGTTCTGTAAACCCTTACATTTCACACACTTGCTTACACTAAATACTGTACATTTCTAGGTTTTTCCTTATGTTCTGCAAACCACAATCACTAAAAAAACAAACATGAAAAAAGTATGTATGTACGCATATAAGAAAGTAAATACCAAATAAATAAATAAATAAATAAATAAGAAAATACACAAAAATTTTTTTTATTAATTGGCAGGAAGATACGCACCATTATAATGTCCATGCATGAACCGGCAAATTTCTACAAGGAGGGTACTATACACCGCGACATATAAAAAAAATCCCAATCACGCGATAAATTCAAATACGTAAAAAAAACAATTGACTCGATTAACCGGTAACTATTGCATATGAAAAAAATTAATGCGCTATAACAAGAATGTAAAAGACCAAATGGAAATACTGTTTATCAGTTATTTAGCATTACAATCAAATTTTTTATAAGAGATACGCAAATGTTCGGAAAAAAATTTTTAGTGATACAAAAATAAGTAGTACAGTTATTGCTGTATACGTAAGTATAAATCTATAATGCTTATCATTCTGTATAAAAATGGTGCGTAGTAACTCTCTCATTAACGATTTAAAACTTTTAGTTAATAATCCTCAATATAGTGATTTGGAAATTAAATGTAAGGATGGTGCCATCCTTTATGGTAACCGTGCAATTCTCGCTGCTCGTTCTGAAGTGTTCGATAGAACACTCTTTACCCAAGTTTCCTTAACTCCTGATAAGCAGACTTCTTTTCCAAAAATCGAATCATCGAGTATGAAAATTATTCTTGAATATTTATATACTGGAACTGTTCTTGAAGAAAATATTACGATTGATAATGTGTTTGAAGTTTTACATGCAGCGGATTTCTTTCAATTAGAAAAACTTCAAGATACTATTTTTGAGTATTATAAAAAAATTAGCACGAAGGATGGAATTATAAACAGGTCACCCGAGTTATTATCCAAGGCAGTTCAACTGATGTCAACTAATGCTGACAACAAAATTATTAACTATTTAGTAGATTTGGTTACTAAAATTCCTTTAGATTCTATTGAATTTAATAGATTATCCCTTCAGAGCATGCTATCAAAAAGAGATGAAAAAAAAAATATTTGCTTCTAGCGAATATTCTGTATTTCATTTTACGGTTTTGGCGGCTGCAAAAAACGTTTCTCACGAAGCATTTTCTAATTTGAAGGAAAAGATACCGCCATGGGTAAAAGTTCAAGAAGTGCTTCAAACTATCAACAACAATGACTCGGTATATAAGGAAATTAGTATATCGATCACTGAAATTATAAAACCAGTTGTGGAGCATATCGACTTTAAAAGGATTAATGCAAAGATTCTTTCAAAAATAATTGAGCCATTGAATATTGTTCCGTCCAGTAAAATTGCAGATTCTTATCGGTCATTAGCCTGTTTGGAAGCTCCACCAACATCATTTTACGGAATCCCTCTCTTTATGTGGGATCAAAATTGCTATGTCCAGGTTTAGAAATTAGTAATGATGGACGTACTGTTAATGTACCTGAAAATGTTAAGGGCATAAAAGTGTAAGAATAAATTATCCCATGTGTAGTGGT